ATGGCTTCCAGGTGCTTGATTTATGACTATTTAATCATTCAAAATTATTTTTTTCTTTCTTATTTATCTGGCTCTTTTATAAGAACAATCTCCTTACCTATTTCTCAGGGTTTACCGGGACCAGCAGGTGCTCCTGGAGAGGCAGGAAAACCTGGTGATCAGGTACAGTTAGTTCACTTCAACATACAGTACAACACTAATTCCTTGAAAAAATGGATGAAAAAGACAAATGGGACAAATGGCAGAAAACAATGCTAAACAGACATTAATCTCTCTCTCAAGGGTATTCATGGTGAAGGCGGCCCAATAGGCCAAACTGGACCAAGGGTGAGTTCTAGTTTTACCTTAAAACGCTTCTGTAAACACACATTGTTGAGGTCAAGACATGTCCTCATTGGTCAGTCATTTCATTTAACAGGGTGAACGTGGGATTCCAGGAGAAAGAGGAGAACTGGGACCTTCTGGTTTGCCTGGAGCCAAAGGTATCCCAGGAGCACCTGGTCCTGATGGCTCAAAGGTAAAACTAAATATATATTATTAGTACTGAAACACAGGAATAATGCTTCATCTGTTTAAATTATTTCAGAATAGTATGGCCCACAGATTTCAAGTATTTGTTTTAACAATCTAAGAGATGAGTCAGAATAATTTTCTGTGCTAATCTACAACAACCCAGATTGTTGACGGATCTTAATGTACTGTAGATTGAGCACAGAATACACCCAGAAATAAGCACACTGCATCAGTTTCACTATGTGTCACGATTCACACTGGGAGAACGGGAACGAAGGAGCAAGGAGACGAGGAGTAAAGCAAATTCCAGGCAGCAGGCAGCTCGGGGAGCCATGGCGGATCAGACAGTCCAGGAGGCCATGGCAGAGCAGTCTCCGAGGCCGCGGCCCCAGCCCCCGCCTCTACGGCTGAAGCCCTACTATCCCTCCCCCAAAAAATACTTGGAGAGATTTACATGCATCTTGGCAGGAATGGGGTCCTGAGGGCGTTCTGGGGGAGCGGGCACTGGTGGGCACTCTCGAGGCGCGGGCACAGGAGTG